ATATCACAAACTAGTCAATACCTTTACTAAATTTTATCATCGGTACAAAGACACATTCGTAAATATAAATCAACATGCAGACATCTTATACGTTCAGGTATTTCACATCCAATCTTTTATGGTAATATTCTTTACAAAGCACAAAAATGTCGGCATTCACCTCAAAAGCTAATCCAAACCTTTAAACAGACTTATTCAGAATGGATATAGCTACGATACTGTTGTCAAGTCATTAAGAATGGCATATTTTGGTACTAATATTGATTCACTGATAGGATCTTTGCATCGGAAATAAACACATTTATTCTAAAACCAGTTGTTGGCATGATACGGGTTATGTTCTTCTCATATATGTTATGATGGTATGATACTAAACCCCTAACGGAAGGGATGGTGCTTGTTCTTCATATGATGAAGACATAATCTTTCAATCAGTTTAATTGAGGTCTGGAGCTGGCATGTCAGTAACTGCTAGTAGTCCTTTGTTTATTGATGTATCATTGTCATTTTCCTTAGTTTCTTTTGTTACTTATTCTGACATCGGACTCGGACTTCTTCTTGAACTGAGTTTTACTGTGCGTATTGCTGTGTGTTTCTTTATTCTACATTGCCTAGAGGTATAGGGGGAGGGTTGAGATCTCAGAAAACATGTTTAACCCCACCGCATTTTTGCACCTGTCCCAAGTCATGAGCCTCTGGCCTTTGGTGGTCTTGTATATTTTTTAATTTAAGTTCATTTATATGTTTTGGAGTTTAGTATGACGTCCATTTCTCTGAACGAGTACACATTTTTATTTAGCGCCAGCTGAGGCCCACTTCGGATGCGTGATTTTCTCGCTCCATTGAAGACTCATTGGTGGCCTTTGGCTGTTATCTGCTCTATGGTCGGGTTGTTGTCTCTTTGACATATTCCCCATTCCCATTCTCAATGTTATTGCAAAGAAATTATCATCGTTTCAAATTTACAATATATATTCACATTTACGGTTAAACCTATTGACTGTTAATAAAGGCTTGAAATTTGTTTTGAAATATTAGCCGGCCAGAAATACAGTTTTTTTTTGTTAGTAAGAAAACCAATAACACCAGATTAGCAGTGCATTTCATTATTAGCTCAATTTACAAAATTCCTTAGTTAGCTTTTCTCATCACTTGGCGTCCGTCATCCGTTTAATTTTACAAAAATCCTCTTAAACTACTTGGCCAATGGGAACCAAACTAAGTAATAATCATCCTTGATAAATCTATATTAAAAAAATGTGTCATATGATCCTGTCCGCCAACCAACACGGTCGACATGGCTAGAAAATAACATGAGGATATAATACGTTTTGTGTTTACTTTCTTCAAAGCCCCTTCAGAATGAGAAAATCTGACTGGCAGAAATTTGCAATACAATTCGAGCTACCTACTGTCAATGTATATGAAATGGCGACTTCGTATAGAAGTGATTGCTGTTTAATTGCAGATTTTATCTTTTTTTAATTTTTGCCTATAATTTTGTAAACTAACACAGATAAAGAAAACTTTAAGAGCAAAACTGATCAGAAGACAAGATCTACAGATAATCTGACATGGCTGATATCTGCAGAATACTCCTTAATAGAGTTATTGTCCTTAAATGACGATTTTTACCATTTTTTGGCGTTTTTGTCTCTTGTCTCAAAAACAATAATCCAAGGATAGATTTTTTAGATACAAGAAACATAACTGGAAGCAGCTGGGTAGGCCTATGCACTCATATTGTGTGATATTTTATCATTATCATAAGACACATTTGCCCATCTAGGTAAAAATACTTATTTCAAAGTAGTATGAAAATGTAATGTACGTTGTTTTCATCATTATTTGTTATTGGCTCTTGTAAATGCTACATTAAGGTGTCTTCTGTCACGTCCGCACTTTGGAAGGAAGTGTTTGTTTGTTCTATCCAAGATTTGGAACTTTTCTCCGGCATATTTAGTTTAAAAGTAATTATGGGATCTTATGATACGTTATCCTCGGTAAACATGTACCCGTCTTACAATGACAAAAATACTAGTCTGTGAGATCTGTAATTGGAATTATATTTTGAAAATGAATGCGTTTTTCCTTATTATTCTTACTATAATATGTGTGTATTATTGTATAAATACAGTGCTTTTTAACCGACCCGTGTCATATCTTTAGATAAAAGCAACAGGTACGATCACGTACTGCTGTTTACTTGACGAAGTTGTAAGAAAGTCAGTAGGTAAAACATTTTATTTTCTACTAATTAAAAATTCTTTAATTGATCAGAGTTCTGTTCTACATTTTTTTAATAAAGGGACAAAAGTAGCGATTCGATGTTATATTTTCTTGTTTACATTGTCAAATATTCGTAAAGGCCTTCGCCGCATACGTCTCTCGCCTACGATTGCTTCTGTCTGTGTAAAAGTGTAAAGTTGACTGCCAAAAACACGGCCCATTTATAAGTGAAACACGAAAAAAATAGAAGCTTTTTTGTTTAGGTGCTACTTCTTTATTTACAGTATCAGTGTCGTAACATTGAAGGATGATCTAACACAGTTGTTTATGTCTTAAAATTTATCGTTCGATTGTATGTCAGTGATAAATGAAAAAACAACCTGAAAATTGAAAACAAAAATATGTTTTTAAATTTGGCCAAAAAATATGTCAAAGTAGGTAGGGCCAATTACTTCTGTATTTGATTTACTTACATGGTCAAAATATAAAAAGTATTTAATCCTTATAGACATTGAAAATACCATTATCTAAATTTTTTGGAAAAAATGGACAGGTCAATATATCATATACGTAACATATATTTTTTTTACCAATTTTACTTTGTTCATTTCCATAAAATCAAAATGCTATTTTGCGCTACGTGATGCTGTTTTAAGAATTTTGATATACAACTGAAGTTCAAAAGGGGTTTTATTTATCAGATTTTTCATCGAAGGACATTGCTCACCATAATGAATTATTTTGTATATTAAAGACAATTCATGGCTTACTTTCAACAGAATTTAAGTTTTGGTTCCCGAACTCCTTTTTAAATATTTTTAGGAAAAATACTTGATATTTGGCAAAATCTGTTACAATTGAGTTTTTGGCTTCATTCAGGAAATTATCATTTGTTGATTTGTTAAGAAATGAGACATTATGTTTTAAAACGTTAAACACATTGTGCGGTGATACCATGAATAAAAGTCATAAGTGAAAGCATTTTTGAATATGGCCCTGTTGTAAAATAAATACAAGGGAAATTGACCCTACCTCTTTTACTTATTTAACTGCCTTTCATTTGATAAAGAAGAAATTTTTGTCTTAGTTTCCATAGAGATATGTATGCTGAATAATTTTGTAACCATAGATTAAACATAAATGTTGCCGACGACAACGAGGTGTACGATCGCTATGTCTCGCTTCCGTGACTTTCGTTGTAGGCTCAACAAAAATGACACGATCTTGTATAAAAAGGGATTTCTATAACGTTTTTTAATCAAATAAGATATTCGCTTCTTTTTTATCAACCAGTTGAGAGTTGAGTTAAATAGTAATGATCTTTATAATTTAAATGACCAAAATCATTGTAATTCCATGCCGAATACCGTTTACCTTTGATGCATAGTTCTTTTCATTGACGGCCTTTGTAGGTATACCACGTAAAATTTCATTCACTAAGAATAGGTACCTGAATGTGAGCCTGAAAATGGCATAAACTAACTATAATTTATATTGTTTTAGTCTTTTTTTTAATTTTAATGTCATATTAAAAGACCTTTTAGAATTGAAAGAGAAAAAAAAATATAGGTTTTCTGTTCTTAATTCAAAATAAAGATAAAATAAAACATGCAGAAAGGTACTGTATTATTTTTATGAATCAATATTGCTTTATATATGTGATCAAAGGAGTGGTAAAAGATACCAAAAGGACATTCAAACTGATTAGTCGATGACAAATTGAGAACGTCATGACAAAAACGAAAAACGAATTAAAGACATGCTAAAGTATTTAAAACACAATACAGAAAACTAAAGATCGAGCAAAACAAACCCCACCAAACGGTCTTATAATGTCCATAGACAGATTAAGACAGGTCGTTTCTTCTGTATTTTACCAGCTTCATTCGTATGGGAAGAATTCAAATGGCAGCATGATAAGTTATAAATATTGAAAATTGCAAAATTGCATTAAGACACAGCTTATATTTTGCAGTGCGTAGAATATATTTCAACAAACTTGTTAAAGGCCAACAACAATATGAATAAATTTGCAAACTTTATAATGGAATGCAACTGAAAAATTCTTTATGATATCTGACTGAGTTTTCAAAAAATTGTGAATATCTAAGAACTGGCAAATTTTACCGATTTTTACCTACTATCTAACTTATAAAACAAATAAGATGGACTCGTATAGTAACTGTTTTGCCACGGAACAATGTGTACTCAATTGAAACTGTTAATTACTTTTCTCATATTATATTGTAGGTGCGTATTTTATAGGGTTTTCTATTTGCGTGGTTTGTGGCTGTCATACAAGTGAAATGTTTAGCTAGCTATAAAGCCAGGTTTTATCCACCATTTTCTACATCAGGAAATGCTTGTACCAAATCCGGAATTTGACAGTTGTTTTTTTTCCATTCGTTTGATATGGTTGAGCTTTTGACTTTATTAAAGAACTTTCCACTTTGAATTTCCCTTGGAGTTCAGGTTTTTTTTTTTTATTCTTTTTTTTATTTTTATTTTTATTACAACAGCAGTTTAATGATTTTCTTTTTTCTTTTAATGAATCATAGAATTAACATATTCTTAATTCTTTTGGTATTTTTAATTTTTTTTATTTTCATTCTTGCATCTAATATGACAATGAATGCGGATTATGTAATTCACTGAAATTTTTATTTTAATTTTAATCTTATTGTAATAGAAACATGTGTGTGATTGTTTTTTCCTCTTGATTTACAGTGGTTTGATTGCGAAATGTATATAAAGAGTATTTCTCAGCAATCAGATTATCCCTGCAGAAAACTTGATTTAGTAGCAATGAATAAATTCAGTGTCACAGTTTTGCTGGCTTTAGTCCTTATTGGATTATTTGCCGTTCAGAGTGGTAAGTAAAGGTTTGACTTATTAAAGCGTTCATTAAATTTAATTTTTTAATATTTTTATTAATTGTCAAACATTATGTATATACGTAACACTTGATATATATGTTATGTCAGATTTTTTAAATAGAGACAGTAGCTACATGCAAAAATACTAGCTATCAATTTCTTCATTTTTAAATTGGAAACAAACTCTTGAAACAATTAAATTAAGTCTTTATATCCTACCAAAATTGGCAATTACAACAACATCAAAGGGATGGGAAAACAGGAAGAAAGCTATAATTTGTATTCTTGAAGTGAGTATTTTTTCCTTACTATTTGTCATTATTTTGATGTTGTTGAAAAATTTGTTATATATTGTTTGTCTTCTTATAGTTTTCCATAATTCTTATATATAAATTATACAAATTATCATTTACTGGCACATAAATAAGAGGAAATATTTTTTTTATTTAAAGTTATAATTGATAACGTTTTTTTTTTCAGATGCAGGTTATGTAAGTTTAAAAATATTTGAAGTTTGTTATGGTATGGCATCAAGATATTTGGTTTTATCATAAACTTAACAGTTAATACAAGTCAACGTTATTTATAATACAATGAATGAAAATCGTTCGGTGTCCAACATCCGTGACGATTCAGTCACGGTTACAAAGTCTAATTGATATCTGATAGACATCTAATATAGGGACATAAATAAACGGCAAACACTTTTTCAAATGAGATGGTTTTTTTCCATATCACTCTACGTATCAACCTTCAACCAATAAGCCCTCAGTGTGTAATATTGAAAAAACTATAGACGTGAGATTGCGCACTCTATACAGTAATATATGTATATAAGAAAAAAAAAAGAAGAAAATGCATATATATCGTTGTATCAAAAATTGTTCACATAGTCTACATTGTTCACATTGTTACTACCGGTTTCACTCCTCACGGAAGATATTCATGGTAAACATATATACAATCTTTCAAAATAAACTTTGTTAGTGGTAAAGTCACGTTACATTTACTCTTCGCAACAAAGGAGGTAACGTTGATATAAATTGTTCAAAATAAACGTTGTTAGTGGTAACGTCACGTTATAAACATATTAACTTATTAATAATATATCAATCAACTATAACAGTCTTATCTATTATTGGGTATATAACTCATGTTCAAATATTTTCAAATATATATAAAATAAAAAAAAATTGGACTAAACTAGAGTTGCATGCCGTACGGCGACTATAGGTCATTCACATCCTTGTCTTTCTGTCTTGTTGGATAGATGTCTCAATTTGGATGCAAACCTATCAAATTTTCATAAATGGCCTTTTTGTTATGTGCTTAAAAAATGTTTAACCTTGTTTTATGTTCAAATGTTTTTTTCAAATTCATGATCAGAATCCTCGTTATCGATTAATAGATGTATCGTAATGTCCTTCTTTGAATCTAATGTTATAATACATTTTTACGTCCCTGTTTGATAGTTTTCATTACTGCTTAGTTGCGATATGATTAGGTACAGATTGAATATACAAATTTGTCAACTGTTAAAGGTATTTTGAATACTATATGTCGCATTGGTTGGTGTTGCCATTGATTGACGTATAAGCCGCATCGCCTTTAATGTATATATATTCTGATGGAACCAACTGTACGCCTCTTTTTGTTGACATGTTCCTCTTTTATTTATATGAAGCTGACTGCATTCAAGAGGTTCTTAGGAAGAATGAAAAGAAGATAGCATTATCCTTTAACTTCACTTTCGCTATAAAGATGATAACCTCACACTGAATAACTAAAACAATTATGACTTTGTTGAACACATGTATCCCAATGACATGAAATAAAGAATACAACAAATACAGTTAAGGTTATACGTGTTGACATCTGTAGTTTGTTAGCTCTTTTTTTTAAATAAGTTTTTTAATTTTCAAACATTTTGGATTCGAGCATCACTGAAAAGACATTTATTGTCGAAATGCCCATCTAGTGCAGCAACATTGGTACCGTTAATATTATTAAGTCGGCCTCATATTTTGACTTGTATATATAAATTGACAATGAGGATTGTTTGAAAAAAGACTTAACAACAAAAGAGATGATTTCAGATTTTTATATTAATTGTGAACTTTCCATTTCTCGTAGCAACATTCAATTAGCGCCTGTATATGGTTATGATTCTCCTAGTTGATACGATATTCCAGACCTTGCATTTCGTATCATGATTTCCTTGAAGGTATTAAACAAAGAGTTCCAAGTAGTGAAGTTGAAACCCTCCCTTCTAAAATTTAACGGACGCCATCACCAGTTGGTTGACTGTTATGGAATATCTAGTTCACAGATGACAACAGATATGTACAAATTGTCGTACCCATAATTCCGTCCTCTTTTCCTCGAATGTGACCTACTGAATACGATTTTTGACCGGGTATGTACGTTCATGAGTAACATGTTGGATGCCAAATGTGGAACAGGGTCTGCTTACCCTTTAGGAGGACTTGAGATCCCCACGATTTTTGTTGGGGTTCGTGTTGGGCAGTCTTCATTCCCTGTTGCGTTTTGTATACTGTTGTTTTTCTTTTTTTCTTTTTACGTTTTTTTTTGCCATGGTTTTGTCTCCTTTTTTTCGATTGGACTTAAATCATCGACTACATAGTTAATATATTTTCATCTTATTAACTGATGTTACGCCATCAAAGCGGGAGGTTTGGCATGCCACAAAACCAGGTTCAACCCACCATTTTTTTCATAAAATGTCCTGTACCAAGTCAGGAAAATGACCATTGTTATATTATAGTTCGTTTCTGTGTGTGTGTTACATTTTAATGTTGTGTTTTTGTTGTGTCGTTGTTCTCCTCTTATATTTGATGCGTTTCCCTCAGTTTTAGTTTGTAACCCGGATTTGTTTTTATCTCTATCGATTTATGAGTTTCAAACAGCGGTATACTACTGTTGCCTTTATTTACGCATCGGTTTTGAATTGTTTTATATGTCTACATCATAATTAATTCAAAATTTAATGTTTTTTTTTTTAATTTCAGGGTTATGATCAAGGATATAATGCACCATGGCCATACAACAATGGTTACTATGGCTATAATGGATACAATGGATACCACGGACGTTATGGTTGGAATAAGGGCTGGAATAACCGTCCATATTTAGGATCATATTCGGGAAACAAAGGCTATCTGTATTAGTACTGAAACAAGAAAGTTATCAATATTGATATGAATGATAGATAAATAAAGCTTTATTTGTGTTTCCTCTTAGTTACTTTTTGTATGTATCAATCCATCGTTATTATTGTGGTCGATTGATTTGCAGTTGGAAAAACACGAATGTTTAGTTAATTGTATGTAAATATTTGCAAATCCTCTCAAACTTTGAAAAATTAGAATTTTATTGATACATGAACAGGTTGATATAATCTTGTTACTTTAGTAAACAACAGTAATTTGTGATGTCACCATGACGTCATAAATATCTTGATATTTTCGTATTTTACATATTTTACGCTAAGTTTTTGGTCAACATATAAATGCACAGCAACAGTTTTACACAAAAAGGCATTTTACAAACATTTTTGGGTAAATCGGTTAATCATACAAATATCTAATAATAATCACAAGATATCAAAATGAGGTTATTTTGGACACATTTACTGTTTTTGCACCAAATGTAATATGTTTGGAGCCCTATCTAGGAGATACATCAATTGCTCGAGTTTATCCATGTTATTACATATACAGAAAAGTGTGGTGTGCACCAAAAATATCCTTTTTCATAAAATAGGAGGGACAAAATTCTCAATTTCTTTTTCTGTTTGCACTTTTATATCTATATTCAATAACCAAATTCTGTTCAGATAAAGACTTAAGGTAAGAACAATATTGTTGAATGAGTAGATATTTATATACTATGCCTCTTATTATTAATAATGGAAAAAGTCTCATATCGGTCACTACAATACTATCCATATGCTGTTTTCTTTGGATAAAATGTTGCTACCAGTTTAGTGTTAACTTGAATTAAGTGAAACAATGTTGGTACAAATTTTTTATGTACTTTTTTTTTGCTTGAAATAAAGCATAATGATATTGAGGAAAGGAGAAGTCAATGTAGCAAGTGTGGTTCTGTTTTAGGTATAGAACCTCTAATCTGTGCTCGGTCACAAAGAATATACAAATTCATACAAAATAGTTCCTACGCATAGCTGCAACTTTGTCAAAGAGAAAACTGTTTGGATAATTTTAGTATCAAATGGAAGCTTATGGACTTTGGATCACTGTAGAACCATTTTTTAAATATTCTTTTAAATATTGAAATAGAAATATATGAAATTATGATATGATGCCATATTTGCACTGTTGCCAAGATCAGAAGTACCTGATTAGTACTACCAAACTTCCTGAAACCAGCGAGCCCTTATTTGTAATGGAAGGTATGTTGAATATTCAGCACATATCATGATAAGGAATGGTTTTTCTATGAAATAACTGCAATTTTATTTGAACTTTAGAAAAAATAGCTATAAATGCTTCAAAGAGGCATACTATAGCATAGAAAGCAATTGGGCTATGAATAAGTGGTTTTATTCGAAATGGGATGTAGATCTTCTTTATATTTGAGTACAATGAACAGTCCAAAAATAGAACAAATAATTACTACACAGAAATCTGAAGAATGAGTAAAACGAACAAATAACAACGTTATTCAAATGAAGAACGAAACATAGCAGTACCACAAAGATGTTCAAATAAAACATTTTTTTTTCAATTTCCTTACAATGATTATAGTTTAGGAGAATTGGGACTTCAAAAAAGAAGATTCTGATTTTACTAGCAGAGACAATCAGTTCATGGCCATATATACACCATAAAATTTGCTCGGCAGACCCTTTTAAAAGAATGGGCATACACTTTCTTTAGACATAAAACACAACGTTTACCAGACCATCCATAAGTTAAATATTGTAACATCACTTTAGTTGGAACAACTAATTAAAGATACTGGGCTTAAATTCTGATACTTCAGATGCGTGTTTTAACAGTTTTTTTTTTGTTGTTGATCATCCTCAGTAACGACTTAAATTTTTTTTTTTTCATTGAATTTCCAAAGACATGAAAATCTAATGCTTCTAAATAAATAGGTATTCATTCTAAATCTATTCAGCACTTGAATGCACTGTTTCAAGGTTACAATTGAACACTAACAACACAATTTAATGATATTAACAGAAATCGCATGTCTATTGTAAACAAGAGTCTTATGTTTATTTAAAAGCATTGCATCATCTGAATGAATTTATTAAAACAAACATAATTGATACCGGTACAAACGTGTTTGCTTCATGATTATTTGTGTCAGATTTTTTTGTATTTTTGCATATTTTAGACACCATCTGTTTCATATTGCCTAAAATAATGCCTTATCAATCAACAATTCAATCTAACATAAAGGTCTCCGTTCCCAAATACTTACTGGCTCAAGATCTGGTACATAAATATGGAACCATTAATTCTTTTCCTTTAATAAAAAAAAAAAAAAACAAAACGTTAAGGTGAAATTTTAACACTGATAATTCATGGAGTTACTAATAACTCGTATGTTATGAAGTTGGGTCCCCCAATCCCCTTTAATTTGTTTAAAACAGCCTTAAGCATGGTTTTCTATTCACAAATTTATAGTGATTTCCCATATTTCAAGATCGTGATATGTACATTGATAGAACAACTCTTGCAACAGAGATACAGATAGTATATACTGTAAAGACGTTTACAAAAAATTCTATTTTATTTTTAATTTTTAGTTTTTCATTCAATCATACATAGTACCACTATTTTCATCAAATGTATGGTCAATGCTTTTATTACACCGCTTTTTGTCGAATATTTGCTTTTTGTCTGACGTTGTCTTTTGTTGACGTTGCGTTTTGTACGGCGTTGCGTAAAGTCCATTATTGTTTTTTGCTAGAATAAATTAGCTTTTTGTCCTAAACTGTATATTCCCCCTTTGCTAAAACAACAGTTGTATAGACGTTGCAACCGCGATATGACGTCTCTGAGACCGCAAAAAAAAATACGATCGCAAAGACATTGGAAAGATCTCTGCGACGTCTTGACAAAACCTGGTTAGCAACAGTGCATTAATTCATTGTACGCTGGAAAAATGTCTTCCGTGGTTAAAAACATGTCAGCATTTGACACTAGAACTGCGAAACATCTAATTTTAGGTTAGTCTGTCTTATTTAAAAATCAAGGGAGGTCGGTTGAGAGCAACAGTTACCTTAACCATTGACATATTGACCTCAGAGTTTTCATCTGGATACCCTTTTTCCACCAAAACATCCGTGTTTTAGTACCAGTGACCTAGATCTTTGACTTATTGCCCAAATATTAATAGGCTTCTTTCCATTCCATGTAATTTTGATCCCTGTAAGTTTCATTCAAAGTTAGCAATGGATATTCAAGTTGTCTTCCGAAAACCATTTGTTTCGGTTACATGACGGACAGACGGACAGACGGATGGAATGACGGACTGACAATGCGATTATTGTATTTTCCTGAAATTTTGTCGAGGAAAATAAGAATTGATAAGCTAGAGACCACTGTGAGTGATGAGATGATTCATTTTTGTCCTTAACAACAACTGTATTGTGTACGTGCGTTTCGGTAATCAAATTAAACATTTTAAGTGATATTCCAATGGGTACGGATTGCGTCACTTTGATAACATTTTTGTTACGGTATTGTTATAAAATTACCTTTTTTTAGCCAAGCCCTTTAAAGATCCGTCTTAATTTATTTGAAAGGTAACAAAATATAACACGGTCACTTGATGGTATGTATGCCATTGGTTTAAGTAACCAAAAATGCTTTAATTTTACAGTTGACATTTGCCTCCAGGAAACACACTTTAAAAACAAAAGATATAAATGAAGAACAATATTTGTCCTTTTCTTGGTTTCAATATTTCAGTTTCACACATAAAACTGCATGCAATGTTTACTAAAAAGAGACGATTTATCTTTCCCTATTGTTTATTTTCAATTTGAAAATGATGTGCCGTTGGTCCCTACTTATGATGCTTTTATTTCCCCACTGGTACGTTTTGCTTTATAGCTTACAGGAAAATAAAGTTTCTTGCTTCTACAGAAACTGTCGGTGTTGGAAATTTGGCATCTACCTAGTTTTGAATTTCATTCGAAAGACTTAAAATACTTGTACGTTAGAATAAAAAAAACAAAAATAAATAAAAAACAAAACAAAACTAATTCGTCCTGCGTATGGGTTTAATGCATACGCACTTGTCTCAGATTTTTTAACCTAGACGTTATATAAAGATGTAGGGGTTAAATATAATAAGAGACACGCTCCTGTTGCTTAACGCAACAAACCACTTTGTCTCATGTAGTAGTAGTTGTAGTAGTTGTAGTAGTTGTAGTAGTTGTTTTCCTTTTGACCACAGTATTCTAATGAAAGACTCAATTTCGGTAAGGGAAAAATGGGCTATTCTTCAAACAGAATTTCTGATGGTGGGGTCTTTTATAGCTGACTATACGGTAAAAAACCAATATCATATTTTCCTTGTCAAACCATAATTGTAAAAATTGTTTGAAGTTTATATCTGTTTCAAGAAAAAAATATTAAATCTTCTTAAAAAGTGCAATTTTAAAAAAAAAGTTGTGAACACCAAAATAATCAAAAATCTATTTCTAGTAAGATACAAACAACAAAAATTAAAATACAAACTCCAAGTACACAATTAATTAGGTGCATAAAATGTGAATTTTAAAATATGTTTTCACTGATGGAGCTAGAAACAAAATAAGGAAATACGAAAAGATTTGAAACGTTGAAAAGCATTGATCACAGAATAAGAACACCAGGATGCTCTAATAAGAGAATGACACACTTTCATAAATTGATAGACAACCTGCGAATCAATATAAATCACAGAAATATGTATAAAACATAAAGTTATAAAGTGTAATTTTCATTTGGTGAAAATGTTCACGCCGTGCAAACAGAATAAATTTTTAAGCAAATGTTTTGACAAGTATATAATTGCTTCATCTCTGTTTCGAAAGTTGATTAATTAATTTTCATGTCATGTTCATTGCAATATGGGAAATTACTGCAAATTCGTGAAAACAAAACAAGCAATAGACGTTTTTAGAAGAAGTCAACGAAACATCAGCATCATTTTGAGAAGAATTGTGTATCATACATTTTCATTTGCCATGAT